TCAACTATTTTATTGTACAGTGTTTTAGTGGAATAATGCCAGCTTCTGCTATCTTCTTGGTTGACTCAAACTTGCTGGTAGTTTCGCAGCTGTTTTAAAACTTAAACTTGCCCATTTTCACTCTTTCAGTACCTTTCAATTTCCACACCTTCTCTGGAATCATATCCAAACAAGTGCTGTGGACCTGGTGATTTTAATCTCTGTGACTGTGTGTGTTACGGGGGACTGCAGTTTTAGCAATTTCATTTTTTGAGAGAGTCCCAAGTACATTGCCCAGGGCTGGGATTACAGGCGTGCACCACGACTGGCTTTTTTCAACTCTAAGGAAATTGAACGCTATGCCAAAAGTAGGAAAGTGCTAAGTAGCTGGATTGACTCATAATTGGTAGAAATCAGTTAACTATTTCAAATTTGAATTGCATCGTGTGTTTATCTTTTAGAGATTGAAGACCCTTTGAAAAAACTGAGTAAAAAAATATAAAGCTGAGTAAGTACTACTTTTCTCTTTGTATCTTATCCATTCTTACTCTTCTTAGAGACATTGCTGGCGTTAAGCATCTTTTTGCTCTCCAAGCCTTAACTCATTCTGGATTTGAGTCGTCTAGAGAACGTAAGTATATTAAACAATCATCCTTCACATCTTTATTTTCAAAGGTTTTTAAAAATTAGTTTGAGGTTCCCGAAGCTGGTTAGAAAAGTATGGTTACTTTATAAATGAACAATATGAAATTTTGAGAAGTGAAAGGTGTTCTGATTCAAAGCCAGTTGGAGCAAATCTAAGAACATAGGAATTGTAATCCAATGCTTTTAAATTGTTTCTACTAGTATCAAAACAGGAACTCCGGTAATTACAAGTTTAGAACTTTGATTTGCAAAACTCAACACTTCAGCTAGATTCTGTAGTTTGAGGGCTTATCACAAAAACTCAGAAACATTTGTTAAAAAATATTTAGATGCCTTACTACAATGCTAGGTGTTGTATTGGACTCTGGAGCAACAAGGAGTGATCAAATATATGGTGATTATTTAAATTTTAAAACTTACAGTGACTTTGTGATTAACTCCTCAAAGTACTTGAATACACATTATATTGCTCATCACTTTTTTTTTTTTTTTTTAACACAGTCTCACTATAGCTCAGGTTGGTCTTGAGCTCACCATGTAGCCCAGGCTGGCCTTGAATGCATGGCAATCCTCCTGCCTCAGCCTCCTAAGTGCTGGGATCACAGGGATGCACCACATGTGGCCTCTTGTCACTTTCTGAAACATTTCTGAAGTCCTCTTTCATAGCTTGCACTGTTGTGGCTTCATAGTTGCACTGTTGTGGCTGCCTGAATGTCCCGAATTGACTGAAAATGTTTACCTTTCATTACCATTCTGACTTTGAGGAAGAGCCAGAAGTCACACAGGGCTCGATCCAGCAGAGTGGGTGACCTTATCTTCACACTGGATGGCACCTGGCAGCAGCATTCACATTTTTTATCATACCTTGTAAAAACACTAAAAAGAAGACTCCCAGAACCTCTTCAGAAAGTGGCAAGAATGATGAGATAGAAAGTATATCTGAAGTTGAGGAGGAACATTCTGAGGGAGATTAATGCCAATGTCGTTTACTGTATCAATTTTTAAAGTATTCACTGTATTATTTTGATCAACACCTCATACAACGGTGAGCAAAACAGACCAAATTTCTGTCCTCACAGTTGTCTGACAGACAGAAATAATCATTCAGTTATAAATCATCCAGAAAAACTCTATGAAGGGTTCACACAGGGTATTACAATAGCAGTACGTAACACAGGAATCTGATCTGGGGTAAACTGTGGAAAAAAAGGCAGCCTTAAAGAAGAAATAATCATGGGGCTTTCGGTGAACGCCTAATACCTAAGAGGCTGGGAAGAGAACACAGAGCAGACTGACCCTTGGTACGGCTGGAGAGGCAGGCAGGGGATCTTCTGACTATCTGGGTGTCCAAACTTTCGACTTGCCTGGGCCACAATGAGTGAAGAGAAACTGACGTGGGCTGCATACGATGTATTTTATACAAGTAGTAAAACTTCATTTTTCTTTTATATTTTAACTTGTCTGGCAGGAGAACATGACCCATCCAGCAATTAAGAAAACTGACCTGTTTGCTTAGTAATAATAAACACCCATCTTCACAGGCACACACACGTAGGTAGGCTGAGATACTATTATCGGTAATTGCTGCATCTTTTTTGCAAGCACACTTAATGTCTGGTGCATGCAGGTTTCAATCTGTGAGGCAGCAACAGGAGGGAGGGTTGCACTGATTGTACCGCGCTCACAGCACTCAGCTGTTACCTCAGGCTGCATAGCCATCAAGCCATGCAAAGCGTCACTAAAACCCTCTCAACGTTAGAAGTTTACACTCTAGCAGGACCACAGGTGGACATGCTTTAGTTTCCAGCGATCAAGTACAGAAGTACACTTAGAACAAGAGTGTATTACATTTGCCCACCCACAGACTTTAATTATCAAAACAAATTCTTTTCTCCACTGTTTTTGCTTATGTAAACTGGTTAAATAAAAAAGTGCCCTTCAGATCTTTTTAAGGGAAACAGGGTCTTGCTATACTGTAGCCCAGGTTGGCTTAAAATTCACCGCCATCATTCCTACCTCAGCCTCCTGAGTACTGGGACTATAGGCATGCACCACCACGCCCAGCAGGCTTGTCATTGTAACCGGTGTTCCTAGGGGAGGAGTGGGGTATCAGTCATCTGAACTACTTGTTAACAGAGTGAAACTCACACAACATCTTAAGCAAAGCCTGGACATATTCATTTAATATGCTTGACATAACGGTTCCCACTAAATACTCATGTTTCCCTGGAAACTAGTATTTTAAAGGTTATGTACCCTAAATGATTTGAATATGGCTCAAATGCTTTATGCCAAGTGGCTTCTTTACCTATACATTTCTCAAATATTGACCACATGCCACAATTTTTTGTTACTTGTTTGGTGGTAGCGGGGATTAATCCCAGGGAATTCTAAGCTACATCTCTACTCCTTTTTAAAAATTGAGACAGGATCTCACTTAGTCCTCTAAACTGAGCTCAGACTTGTGATCCTTCTGCTTCATTCTCCAGAGTGCTACACTGCACATGAGGTACAGGATGACAATCCCTTAAATATTTTGGAATGATGCTTGTTGTAATAATTCCGTTTCAGGCTAACTGTGATAATAAGCAAAAAATCGTGAGAACATGGTACTATTTTGATTCTGGAAATGCAATAAATTTATTTATACCTAGAAATAAAAACTAGTATTAATTCATCACTTTATCAACTAATACATTTACATATAATATACCATTGATCTTAAGATCAAGGTAATTCCCATGAGTAATTTATTAGTTCCTTTTATAGCATTTCAAAATGCTTACATTTCACATATTTTTACCTTTTAATCTATAGTTTTTCACTCAGAAGAAATTCTTAAGAAAAACTCTAGCAGGAAATGTGCAAAAGAGATTCTCAAGGAAGGGAAAAACTAACGCTCTGCGATTTCAAAGTTTTGGATTATGTTAAGATGGAGTACATGGGTCACAATGCCAAAAATACACACTGAAGTAGGGAACTCATTTTAATTAAGAAGCTTTATTTTATTTAGTAGTGGGAACTGAACTCAGGTCCTCTGCACTGCACTACGTTCTTAGCTCAGGCTGGGCGCAAACATTTGATGCTCCTTCCTGAGCTTCCCAGAGTACTGGGAAAAGGGATGTTATAATACCTCCCTTAGCTAGTTTTTTTTTTTTTTGTAACGGGAATTGAACCCAGGGCCTTACACTTGCCAGGAAGGCACTGTGCCACAGAGCTACATTCCTGGCCCTAGTTTGAATTCTTAACAAATATCAGTATCTTTTTGGTTTTTTTTGGTCTTTTTTGAGATAGGGTCTCGATATGCAGCTCAGGCTGGCCTTGAGCTTACTTTGTAGCCCAGGCTGGTCTCAAACTCTCAACAATCCTGCCTCAGCCTTCCGAGTGCTGGGATTACAGGCATATGCCACCACACCCGGCCAAGTATCAGTATCTTATACACAGTACAAACGAACAAGTTATCTACATTAAACTATGGGAGAAAAAATGTATGTCCTCTGATAAACTATTCAATTGGGTTTTTCAGATACTGGTTTCAGTAATGAAAACCACCAATAGAAAAGTTGTGTGCAGTTTTTTTTTTTTTTTTTTTTTTTTTTTTTTTTTTGTCTTTTTGAGACAGGGTCTCCCTGTGTAGTTCAGGCCGGCCGTGAGCTCACTCTAGAGCTCAGGCTGGTCTCGAACTCACAAAGATCCTCCTGCCTCAGCCTCCCGAGTAGTGGGATTACAAGCTTGTGCCACCACAGCCAGCCTGTGTGCAGTTCTAACTCCTCTACAACAAACAAACACAAACCTTGACTTGCATAGTTATTTTTAGCCATACACAAGACTATAGTGAAAAAAGTAGAAATAAATTACAGGTAATCTGTGAAATAGACAACAATTTAAGATACAAAGTGTAAACATCATAGAATGTCTTTTAAATAATCATTTACTAGCAGAAACTTTGAAAATGACCAGATAATAGCGGTATGTTTTTAGCTAATGTCTGAACAAAAACATTTAAAACCGCTGTTTACTAACTTGAGCAGAACTACTTTTGATAGATTATTCATATTTAAACATTTTTCTTATGCTTCAAACACATTTATGTGATTGAAGAGAGTAGAGCGAAAGCTGTATTTGGAGGTACCTCATTTGGACTAGAAAATTAACACTAATCAGCCTGAAAGTCTAAAACAATGTACACATAATTTGTCCTACATATTGTACACTGCTTAGTGATTAAAATCCTCTTCAAAAATAAAACACTCAAATTAAAAGTACAATCATCAGCTTCTAGACATGTCGTTCTTTATATAAATGACATGAATACTGCTGCGGATTCTTACAGAAACTGCAGATGAAAATATTTCAACAGAACGAGACACCACAAGGAAGGCTTCGTGAATAATTTATTCCATTTGAAGTTTTGTTTTTTTGTTTTTTTTTAAAAAGTATAAACCTTTTTCATTTCCTCAATCACAATTTGTACAACTCAGTGTTATGGCATTCGGCAGCAATAGTGTTTGTTCCTTTTTTTTTTTGTCACGTTAAAAAGAAAAGCAATTGGACCATATTGAATGTCACTGCTACAACAGCAGCTTTAAGACGCCCCTTCATAAAGTGACCGCGCTGTTCGGAGAGGGTGACGCTGACGTGTCCAGTGATGACGTTACAACTTGTAGTTTAAACTCAGGAACTTTAAGGTCCACAAATCCAGTTTACTTTGAAAACTAAAGCTATTTTAAAACTTAATGAATATGTCAACCTGAGGAGTATTTAGGTCCCAAATCCAGTTTTCAAATTTATACTCCACAAAAAATAAAATACATGTATAAAAATTTAAACCACAGTTCTGGGCCCATTAAAACACCAAGAAAACCCAAAAGGTTAAGATTTCCAGCTGATTAGGGGGAGACAAAATAAAAATGTAGTATTGTTAAGAACATCTTTCCTTAATTTAGACAAACTAAAATCTTAAGAGGAAACCCAGACCAAAATATCACTCATGCAACATTAAATGTATTAATAGACTAATATGCAATGCCATAGTGGATGAGTAGCAAATTATATGATGCAATATAGCATTTGAAAACTTCCTTTTAAGCTATTCAATTTGAACATTTTAAATAATGCAACATAGTATTTTGATATTACAGTATTAACATAGTGCTTGATTAAAGATCTGCAAATCTTTGTAGTAACACATTAAGTTAAAAAATTACCTCAGAAGGTAAATATGAAGACGAAAAGAGAATATTTTAATACAGTAATCTGTGCCATACTGACAATTGAGTACGAATACAGCTGAGGATAATTGACTAACTAGTAAGAGCTTAATTTTAGTGGTTTAAGAAAAGTTTAGAAATATTTAAAAATTACAGCTACTTTAAAATTTAAGGATTACATATAAGTACACTTGGTGGCCTCCTGGCCAAACAATAAGGTGTACAGAAATTTATTCATACAGTGTTAATTCACAGTCCTGATAACTGAATGGCTTGCATAAGAAAGGTATGGCTAGATGTTTCTCACTAGCTGGAAGCAGACATTATATAACTAAACTTTTTAAATGCCAAAATACTGAACTTCCACCCTGCTTCATAATGGATAACTTCACAAAAAATAGACATTAGCACTGTAACAAAGAAGTCAAGGTGTTGGTAATTCACTGGTATAAAGTATAATATTTTGCTTACCTATTCAAATAAAACGAAACTACCTACACTTGTCTGTGACAGTACATTAGTCAGATTCATCATTCTAGCCAAAAGGTTTACTTTGTTTTTTTCTGAAGTAAGTCAACTCACCTTTCCAAATGGCTATTTAAAAACTTTCTATTTAATGTGAACTGCATATGAAGGGAAGAAAAATACTGTTATCAGTACATTCTGTGTGTTTAGGAACTATTCCCAATTCCCAGATTAAAAAAGGAATTGTATATTGGGTTCCCTCCTATGGCTCAATAAAAAAGAAACTCTCAGGGAATCATTTTTTAAAATCTGTTTTCAAACTGAGGTGTGGTTACCATAGGTTAGTGATTTTAAACAACTGAGAATATAGCTTTTATTTTTTAAAGTCACTATTGAGCAAAATACATAAAAAAGAGTATTCTTTTTATAGAAATTGCAAATAAGCGTATTTCCCTCAAATTTCAGACAAGCTTTTTTTAGAAAGTATAGAAGAAAACATGCCGACATAATCTGTGGTTGTTAGCATAATTTAAAAATAAACGGAGAGGTGCGATCTCTATTTAATATCAAAATATGCTGACCTTTAGAATTTCATTATAATCCTGAATAAATGACTGAAAACTGTTGTCACCAGTTTTGTTTTCTTTATAGAAAAAACAAGATTTGCTAATGTTTTCATATACACAATTTGAATTTATACTCTTCATAAGAAAATGATATTTATGTTAAGCAGATAGTAACTACAAAACAAGTTTTCAGTAAAAAAAAAATACTGAATTAAAGTTTTGTAAATACAATTGATTTTTTCCGTGTAGATAACCAATGAACATATAAATAGGAATTTTGCTAGACTGCTTCCAAGGAAGATAGGTAGACTTGGTGACTGTGAATTCAAGTCAGCAGCGTAAGCTGAGGCTCACTCAGGCTCTCTCGTGAGCAGCACTGTAGAAGGGTTTTTCAAGGGGGTAAAGCCTGCAGAAAAGCAGTTATCTTGGCATGTGCAAATAAGAGGGAAAGTTGTACTGAAGGAAGGGGTGAATTAAAGTCCCTAAAACTCAAGTCCCTTCTTTAGGGAGGTGAGAACCTCCTTGGCATATGCCCTACCTTAATTTGAGCTGTGTTATAAAAAAGTAAAGACTCTGGTGTTTGGGACTGCCATCTCCAAACCAAGAAAATTAAATAAATAAAAAGGCAAAGGGAAACAGGTTTAAGTTTAGAAAATGGTTCTTTCACTAGTGAAATAGAGTCTGAATACCAGAATTCACTGAGAATCTATTTACACCACAGTTTGATTGCACACACACACACTCATACTTATGCATACTCTCACACATATTCCCAATCTTTAATTTAAAAAAAAAAAAAAGTCAAACAATCAAGAGTGACTGCTCTTAAAATAATTTGTAAAATGTCTAGAGCTGGGCTAAATTTCAATCTTATAGCAGATCCTGAAGATAAATTTCATAATTAATAATATTCCCATGCCTAAATGTGCCACTGTTAAAACTGAGAAAAATTTAAGCATGTAACATTAAACACCAAAATTAGTTTAAGCATTCAGTAGCAAATGTTTTTCTTGTAAAACTAACTTTCTTTCACTGGAAATGGCCTGAAATATTAGTCATAGCCCTAAACCATAGTACAAAATATAACTGAAGAATTCTCAATTTATTCTAAGTTAAACCACCTAACAATATCACTTGTATATTGCCATCATGTTATTCTGTAAAGGTGTGATATATAAAATGCTGTAAGACCCGGTACCTTTTCATTTTATAAACACAGTGAACTTCTTTACTGTACATGTACTCTGCAACTACAGCTTAGCTGTAAATCCTCCACACACAATGGTATGGACATTATTCCCCCTCTATCCCCATTAAACTGTACATTGAGACAATACAAATTTACTGTCCCACCCACCCCCTTACAAAAAAATAATACTCTAAAAGCAACCCTACTGCAACTTTTTAATTAAGACGATTACATATATTTTAGACCAATTGCTTTAAAGCAAGAAGGCAATATAAACCTTCTAGGAAAATTTTTATAAAAGAGGTTAAGAAATATAAGACAATTTATACATTAAAAACTTACAATAAATAAGAGATGCAGGCATTTTTGAATACTAGATACTATAATCCAATACAAGAACACCTTGATGTTCTAAAGCCGTATGTTGGAATTCATTGTTCCTCATGTTTCCTCTCCATGCTTTTAATATTCATTTAACATGACTGGGTACTATGGCTCATTACTCTTCACAAATACTGTGACTGGAAAAAAAAAGTTAATTTTGCTACGAAAGTGTTATAATACGTTTTGTATGATCAGTCATCATCCTAAAGAGTTCGGTACAGTCACTGAAAAATAGCAGGGTTATAGCCCCTCCCCAAGTCAAAACAATATTTGTTGAAGTAATAAGAATTAGACCCCATCACAAATGACTTTCACTGAGAAGATAACTGTAATGTAATCCTGCAGCAAAATATTCTTTTTTCCTTATTCTTTTCTTGCACAGTTCCAACAAATAAAGATCACAGCATATTCATGATAAAGTTATATAACTGATTCAGCACCACAAAATGAATTGGGAGACATGAGCGTCTGTCCTGGATTGCAGGGTCACAGGTTAGCCAGGAGAGTGCATTGTACTGTTCCAAAACAAACCTGAAAAGCAAATAAACTTTGTAAGTCATGTACCTATTTCCAATGTAGATTTTGGAAGTAGTTTTCAATGATGGTTATCTAAGATTCAAAGTCAACTTTAAAAAGATTGGAAGATGGAGAAAAGAGAGTCCTTGGGGAAAAAGATAACTAATTTCATAAAAATTATTCTGTGGCTGAAAGCGTAGCTAACAGATAAAAGCACTGATTTGCCTGGTATGTATGAGGGCCTGCATTTCATTACCCCCCGCAAAAAAAATCCAAAAAACTTATTCTGAATAAATCTAAGTCATCTAAAGATTCAAAGATATACAAACATAAACTTGTCAAAAAAATGTAAGAACCAATGTGCTTTTTCAAGTTGCAATGGAGAGCACAATGGTAAAGAGCTGTACCTGAGGACGTCGGAAGTCTGATTCGAGTCAAGTGGGTGGGAGTGTTTACTGTGAAGCAGCTCGTCAGATTGCACTGAAGGCACGTGGAGGTGCAAAGAGGCCTAAAAAGTTAACAGATAATCCATCAACCATAGGGACAAATTTGCCTATTTAGTTTTACCTTCCTCTCTCAATATATTATGTATCTTCCGTCGTGAAATAAATACATCTATCTTTTAGAACTATGTTATGAATGGGAGTCACTATTATAATGCTTGTTTTCCTTATTAATTCATTACTGAAGTAATTTTTAAGTACAAAACTTACACTGAATCTTCCTATTTCCTTTTCTTTAGCTAGTTTTCAAGACTTCACAAAAATCCTTGAAAAGGACTTCCACTCATTTTCTGAGTCTAATTTTCCAAGATGTATAAAGTAAAATGTTTAAGGAGCAGTAAGCTTATAAACTTGAGTACAGTCTGTCCTTAGGTTACACAGAACTTAATTAGGCAGCCATACTTAGGTCTAGGCACTAAACAGATGTAAGCACATGCGAACGGTTTACTTACAGAAGTATGTATGCACCAGTGATGGCGAACCTATGGCATGCATGGTGCAGCAGGCTGTTTGTTATCACTGAAAGCGCTAAGAGCTTTGCCACCACTGCTATGAACAGCTGCCTTTGGCTGAACTGCTAACACTCTAATACAGTGCACAGATGCCTTCTTTGCCCAATAAATTTTATAATAAGATTATAAACTGGGTACCACATTCATTTAAATAAATATGTGAACAGTGGGAGACAGGAATGTGCTACTCTACTTTTAATTAAATAAAGTGAATCATTTTGTTTATAGTCATTATATACAATAATATTTAAAAAGCTGTAACAGAGTGGTAGTATTCACTTTTGGTAGATCTTATTCTATTTACTCTAAAAGGTGTACTTTTGTGTAGCATATACAAGAGTGTAACCAAAGATGTGTATGTTTGAACTATCTATAAAGTCTTTTTTTTTTGGTTTTTCTCCGGTACCGGGAACCGAACTCACGACCTTGCGCTTGCCAGGGAGGCGCTTTTGCCGCTGAGCTAAATCCCCAGCCCCTATCTATAAAGTCTTGATTCGCGATTACAAACAAAAGTCTCACATGGCAGATCACTGTAAATTACATGAATGTTGATTAGAACCAGGGCTCTAATGTTTATGATAAAATGATCTTTAACTATCTAGGTAACAACCCACTATTTTTCCAAGCAAAGAAATATACCAGGTGGTTTTATTTCTTAATAGCATAGGACTAAAATGAGATGTATAAAGAAAAGGTGAACAAGATTATGGTAAATTATGCCTTACCTGGTAATTCAGAATCAGAAGTCCTAATCTTGTTACACTGTATCTGAGGGTGAATGCACACTTTACACTATCCTCTCTGCAAATAAATATTGAGTAGAAAAGAATCTGGATAGTCCCTCAGACTTTTTGTAAAGTAGTGTTTTCTTAAAAATGTGTCCTGAAACACTAAGGTCATAAGCTATAAACAGGTGTTACACAATCCTTTTCTTACATGTATAACGTGTACTAAAATATGAGAAATGTTAGATAAAGAATGTTATTTACTGCTATTTCAGAGTCTTTAGTGCTTTGATAAAATAAATCACTGAGTCTGAGACTCTCATTATTTAAAAGCCACTCAATAGTTTTATTTTATTTTATTTTTGTCTTTTTGAGAAAGGGTCTCACTATGCAGTTCAGGCTGGCCTTGAGCTCTCTTTGGAGCCCAGGCTGGTCTCGAACTCACAACAATCCTCCTGTCTCAGCCTCCCGAGTGTTGGGATTACAGGTGTGTACCACCACCGCGGCCCACTCAATAGTTTTAAAATGGCAATATACATAAAGCTAGAAAGTATTCTTAACTAGAGAGTAAATTAAAAATCGAAAGTATTACAAAGATTGTGAACCTTTTAGCCTCAAAAAATGCAGCACAAACCAGGTGTGGTGACGCATGCCTATAATCCCAGCACTTGGGAGGCTGAGGAAGGAGAACTGTTGCCAGTTTGAGGCCAGCCTGGGCTACAAAGTAGCTCAAGGCCAGTCTGAACTGCATAGTGACACCCCGTCTCAAAAAGACAAAAAACAAAAAAAGCAGCACAATGGGGAGTATGGTATGATGTAATTAAAAGAATGACAGGGCTGGGGATTTAGCTCAGCGGCAAAAGCGCCTGCCTGGCAAGCGCAAGGTCGTGAGTTCGGTTCCCGGTACCGGAGAAAAACCAAAAAAACAAACAAACAAACAAAAAAAATAAAAAATAAAAAATAAAAGAATGACATTGTAATCATAGGTCCAGGTTTTAATCTTGAGTCTCCTACCAATTTGTAACTTTGGAGGTGAGGTTTTCTAAACTTAAATATGCTCACCTAGAAAAGGATAATGTTAGGGCCTGGGGATTTAGCTCAGCGGCAAAGCGCCTGCCTGGCAAGCGCAAGGTCGTGAGTTCGGTTCCCGGTACCGGA